GCATGGTGGCTCACGCCTGTAATCCCAGCACTTTGGGAGGCTGAGGTGGGTGGATCACCTGAGGTCAGGAGTTCAAGACCAACCTGACCAACATGGCAAAACCCTGTCTCTGCTGAAAATACAAAAGTTAGCTGGGCCTGGTGGTGGACACCTGTAATCCCAGCTACTTGGGAGACTGAGGCAGGAGAGTCACCTGAACCCAGGGGGCGGAGGTTGCAGTGAGCCGAGATCGTGCCACTGCACCCCAGCCTGGGTGACAGAGTAAGACTTTGTCAGAAAATGAAATAAAATAAAATTTTTAAAAATTACCTTGTTTTTCAGGTGTTTGAACCTGGCAATACAGAGCTAAAAAGTTTTTTAGTACTTTTTAATCCCCTTTACTTTTAAGTTAATGCAGAATTCCCTTTCTCTGCTGGAATACTTACTAGAAACCGTTCATAGCATCTGCCTTTGTTTAATAAAATTAAAGGGAACAGATTTTTCAAAATCCTAAAGTAGACTAATAGATTTGTTTGTTTAGCCTTTGTGTATTTTGAGTTTTGTGGAATTACGGTTTTTTACTCTTTAGTGTAATAATAAAAATAATTAACTTGAAAGAGCAGATTGTTCTGTTTTTTGTCAGGAAGATCTCACAAGGGTTTTTAAAGAGTCTGTTTGGCAGTAGACCTAGGAGTCTGTTGTGATTTTGGTAAAGGGAAAGGTTGATAAACCTGAATGCAAGAAACAATTCTATCTTAATTTTAAATTGACCATTATAAGGCTTAGTTGTTGAAAATGTATTTTTTCTGTTATTTAAAACAGTATCAACCAAAAGTGATCTGTTCGAATCTTCTAGAAACTTCTTTGCAATGCTTTGTAAAATACTGTTGTATTTCTAAGTTATGCAGAATGGGAAATCATACTAAATACACTCATTAAATTTCATCCTAGGCTATGTGGTAGTAGAAAGATGATGAAAGGAGATTAGGTACCAGAAAGACCAGAGTTTGAAAGACCTGCTGTACTTCTTTCTAGCTGTGAGACGTCAGTTTCTCTGAGTTTCAGTTTTTCTCTGGGCATAATGAGGCTGACGATTCCTATATTGCAGGGCTATCGTGGGTGTTAAATTGAAATACTGTACATAAACCCTTAAGTCTTGGCACTTAAAAATGTTGTTTCTTTGCAAAGTAAAGCAATTACTAATTGCCAGATTACAGGACTGGAGTTCACTCTAACCCACCTATTCACCTGTTCACTGTAACCCACACAATCAGATATTGCAAAATAAATAGAATAGTAGCCATGAGCTTGATGTTGGAGAGGAGTAAGAGTGAGCACAGCTAAGTAACTCAGATAAACTTTTTATACATGCACACATACTTAAAAGCTAGCTGTGTATTGGAATGCTAAAACTGTGTTTTTAGTCACTGATGTTTTTCTACAAAAAGTTTAACTTCTTAGAGAAATATTCCTGTATATGGTCCTTACATACTTGTTTTTTCCTTCTTTAGGATCAGCAAGTTTATGAAAGACAGAGAACAAAGTTCTCTACTCATTACGCTTCTCCTTCCATTCCTCCACCGTGGCAATATTGCTGAGGTACAAACTCATAGGACACTTACTCTGTCTTTAGAGTAG